AAAAGTATAAATTTGTTACTGTTTTTCAGTATAAATAAGCTCTCCTTCACGGAGATCTCATTGCGTAATGGCACAACGTAGGGATAATGCGCTGATGCTGCTAATCATTGCTTAGAGAGATTATTTATCGAGTACTCCCTCCGTCTACATGGGTGTTTGTATGGTAGGATCTTTCACATTATGCTACAATTCATATTTGTCTATTGTTTAGAGCCAAGAAGAAGAAATTCGACATCTGACATTGAATGCTGCTCCTAATTATGCCAGAAAAGAGAAAGAGGAACCCCCACTTGCACCAGAACATACCATCTACAATTATGATAGCGTAAGATTGTTATCTGCGTAAATTTACCGACAAGTATTCGGTTTATACATTTAAGACCTGCTTTTGGCTAAACTTGATGAAATAATCATACCTCAATTACAACCCTACTATGAATGAGAATGGCCCGTTATAGCGATTATTTGATGATGCTAATGATTGCTAGTTTATTAGTTCTCGAACTGTCATAAATCTGACTTGGAAAATGGACAAGAAGGATTTTTTGAACATTTGGCAGATTTAAATTAATAACTCTGTACTTCTTAATCTTCGAGTGAAGCACAGCAAATTTTCGATTATCGAATATGAAGGTTGAATTTGCCCCCGCATTCAATCGAGATTCTAATATATGAACATAGTAAGCAATCTTTTATCAACCACAAGTTCAACACATAAACTGGCAGTGGTTCTTATTGAGTCAGGTAGGAAAACTAAGTTATTTGTACATATTATGTACTAGGAAATCAAGAGTGACAAAAAGTAATTTCTCATTCTTGGAAACTTCCTTTTTCTTCTTTGCTTGCTCATCAGTTCCTCTCAAAGCTCTTGGAAGAAGAAGAAGCGGATTCATGACACTTTATTTCGTGGCTCAAAACAAACAGCTATGCCGGGAACTGTGAAAATAGCGTTTTGGCGTTGTAAGTACAAACGACTGCCTGAACCCACCTAATACGTCTTTCGGATAGAGTAATCTAATCTCCGGTCAATTGGTGTCACACTTCTGTATTTTTGGATTTCGTACGAGAAGGTATAAGCTCGAAGACGAAACGTAATAGATAATTAGCGAGCATTTTTCTCAAATATTTAAACCGAAGAAGATGACTTAAGAACAAAGTTCTCCCCAGGATTTTCTTAGTGCAGCGTGCGAATACATAGAAGTGTAATATATGTAAGCAATTACGAAGGATCCAACCAGACGTGTCTAAAGTCGAGCCTTGCCAGTGCGCCTTTTAGATCATATTTCTTTTTTTATATACTAGCGTAGAGTAGTTTGCTAAATATTCAAGTCACTAAATTACTAATATTATGAAAAATTTTAGACCCATAAATCGGCATTTGCTTAACTTCACAAATTTCTCGCCTGTTCCTACTTTCGCAAGATGAGTCTAATCGAATCTACTTGCTTTTTTCCTGACAGGGATTAGAACAAACATGAAGGACAATTTGTTCCGAAAGTGGCTCTAACGGCAAGGTAACACGACTTCAGCAGGAGTGGAATTGAAACCACCTGCTCCGAGTTCAGAAACCAAGTCTTTATGGTCAAGTTAATCTCATCAACCATCTGTTTAGAATAAGAAGGATCGCGAAAAACTGGCGATACTCAGCTGTCCTCATTCCGTGGGTTTTCATCCGGATCGTCTTGCCATTGTCGATTTAGACGAAAATAGCGAAAATTACTGCAAGGTGAGGGCCTTACCGCAATTTCTGCTAATTCTTATTGAAAATTAATTTTGAAAGTTTAAATTTGAATCGAGGTTCAATTACTTATGCCACCAAATGTTTTCATCCTTTCGAAATTAGATAAAGTACCTAGAAAGTTTATTAGTAAGTTCTTTCAATATGTCCTAAAGTTATTTACTCTCCTTTTTACTTACATGCTAGCTGGCAGATCCAGCTACGCCCGGCATCAAATAACGAAACTAGTTGTTATTTGCAATTGAGAACTCAGGTACTGCTAGTATCATCGTTGTAAATTTCTCTTATTGTAGAGTTTCTTCTTAGCTGTCAGCGGAAAAACTTACCCGCGTAATTATCTCCTTTTCTCAACGTTTATTGTTACATGCTTGTTTATTGTTTAGCTGTGCTCGTCTATTTTTCGACTGAGCAACTGCTCCGCTCTAACTCTTCCTTATGATAACTCATGTGCTTACATGATCTCGTTTGATCATTTTGAGAGCGAATCAGTATATTTTTAAGCAATGAGCTTGTTTGAAATTTTGTAAAAAATCTTAAAACAAAAAAATTCGCTATGCGGTGTGATCGAAGACTAACTAAGGTTGCTGGCATGTCGAGCTTATTCTATGGAATCTCTTATGGTCCCACAAAATACAGAGTCCATGTACAACCTAGCACCTTATTTTGTGGGACTCCATCGCTGTCATTAATCCCTGCATCCATTTT